TTAAATACGAAAATAATAATATAATTAAACCATAAAACTAAAACTAATACAAATTCTGCCATATTAAACTATTAATAATAATCTAAAATTTACTCATAAGCTAGATAATACTTTTTAGTCTCATATTTATTCTGAATATAATCTATCCATCTTCTCCAAACCGAGATATATCTTTCTTGTGAATAGTCCTTCAAATAAATGGAAATTTTTGCCATTTCTGCTAAATTAGACACCTTGAGTACCCATTCTTCCATAGTAGGCAAAGAATCTTTCTTCCAATATTGCCCCACCAATAATCTTGCAGCTGTTATAAGATTCAACATCAAATTAATTTCTTTAACATCAAAATCTACAATAACACCTAACAAAAATAATTGTGACGTAAACTTTATCTTTCTCTTAAAAATCTTTTGAATGTTCCACCAAATCTTAATCCAAAAAGCTTTTATATTTCTACAAGTCCACCAAATATGAAAATAAGTTGCATCTAAGCTTCCACATCTCCAACATTTGGGCTGTAAATTAGGATACATACAAGACAGCTTTTGAGGATCCAAATGCCACCTATAAAACATTTTATAAAAATTTTCTCTTAAATTTTGAGCTTGAGTAAATTTTACATTTCTAACCCATGTGTCCAATAGAATCGGCTCTTGAATATTTTGAGCCCATTTTACCATAGTCTTTAACTAATTCCGTTTCAGAATCCAACTCTATTAAAACATTATAAATTCTCTTTATATGGGCTCGAGTTTGATCTTTAATCTGTTTTACCAAATTCACGTCCTCTAAAGCAGTGGTTCTCAACCTTTTTAATGCCGCAACCCCCAACTGGTCGTAAGTCGAGGACTACTCAACCGGTCGTAAGTCAAGGACTACTCAACTGGTGCAGCACCATTTGCAGAATGGGATTTTTGGCGGGCTCAGCAGGGCAGAGACAGCCTGGACAATTCCTATTGGTTTTGAAAGCCAATAGAATTAGACTCTATTCAAGAGAGTCTATTCTATTGGCTTTCAAAAGCCAATAGAATAAAAGGGAGTAGCACAGCTAAGGAAAAGGGGGAAAAAAATGGCGGACTGCGTTGTTTGGCAATCCCTGTGAAATGGTCATTCGACCCCAAATGGGGTCCCAACCCACAGGTTGAGAACCACTGCTCTAAAGTAATACCAACCTTTTGATCTAAACTCCACCTAACTAACAAGAGTGAAAAATATTTTCTTGCTTCAATTAAAGATTTTAATTGCCAATCCTTCCTTACCAAACTAAGTAATTCCTTATAAGAAATCCTATCCAAATTCACACCCCTAGATACCCCCTCTATCGTGTGTCCAGGAATCCCCCAAATTGGAATTTTATAGTTTAATTATAATAATACTTCTTCCAGACACGCAATAAAGCGTTTCTTAAAATATGAGATTTTAAAACCTGATCTACTTTTTTATTATAAATTAAATATGAATGCCATCCATATAATAAATCCATATAAACAATCTTCTTAAATGGCAAACTTTATTGATAATATATTTTTCAGATATTATCACTGACCTTGACTATTGTAGCTCTTGTTGCTTTCTTCATATACAGAAATATGACTTGTGTTGAAAAGCCTACAAAGTTAAATCTGCAATAAGCATACAGTACACAATTGTTACACTAATAAAAAAATAGCTGATGCTGTTATTTATATTGTATTCATCAAATAATTCTATCTCCTGCCTCTAAAGTTATGCTATTACTTTGTCTCTTAACCATTTTCTTGATTTTCCCTTTCTTTTCTTTTTCTCTATATCATGAAGAACTGCATGACTACAAAATATTCCTTCCTGAGGATTGACTTTTGCACATCTAATGGTGAATGTGGTTAACAATGTTTATGTGATGCCAGAAGACTATTTTAGCCTCTCTGCAAGCCAAAATGCCATGCAATAGCAAGAAAACAGCACTGGTGGATATGCTGGACTTTCCATTCATGAAGGCATGCTGCCTTTATCAGCTGCATGCAAGCTAACTCACACCATTAGGAGAAGGGCTTTGGCTATTACAATTATGGTTCTTCCCCAACAACAAAATAAGAAATCTGTACTTTTGTAGTGTGTCAGGATTTAGTGACTTGAAGTTCACACAGTTTGGAAGTGCCTTAATGGGAGAAGCCTGGTTTTCTGTCATGCATGAATCCAATCATGGAGCCTTGGTATTTCAGCTAGTTTGGCTTCCCACTCAATATTTAAAGCTTCAAAGACCTATTTTCAAACCTAAGATTCCTTACAGCATGTTGAAGGTTGAATGTGAAGTCATTATGTGCAGAGTGCGTTTCATGAAACGCCCACTCTTTGAAGCTCCACTCTTTGCCCTCTCTGCCCTAGCTATCCACCCATGATTTAAGTCTTAATTTTGGCTAGCAGCTGGTGGCTCTGGGCCAGCCCTTTGGCCACTTTGTGGTTATGAGTGATCCCTGATGAGACAGGCTGGCTTGCTTGAGCAAAGCAAAGCAACATATCTGAGAGCTGCCCAGAGCATTTGGCACAAACTGAGCAGCTATGCTAAATATAGACTTCTTGGGGGAAAGCCTGCTAAGGGAGAAAGGGGTAAAAAGAAGAAAAAATCTGTTTCAGTTTCTCTGATCATCGCTGCCAGGGGGATGGCCATAGTGGAGTGAATAGAAGCTTAGTTATTCCTTGTCTTAGAAATTGTGAGCAGAGTTTGATTTATGTCAGGGCTCAGCTCTGAGTTTTGAAACCTATCCGTCAATTAATGTGCTTCTAAGGATATATAGAGTGCAGGTTTTTATTTGCACTCCAGCTCAGCAGAAACTTCAATTTATTTCTAAGTCACTTATTCCCACACTACTTTGATTAAAGGTTTCTTTCAGTTTTTTTTATATTATACACAAAACAAACAAGTGAAAAATTAGCTGAATTTTACTGCAAAGAATTACTAGTTGTTATTAATAATCTATATTAAAAAAGCTGCATGTGCAAACATATATAATTTCAATTCTCTCTTTCTTCCAAAAACCCAAGGCAACTTGGATAATGTTCAGAGCAAGTTTATCCTTGTAAAGTAGGTGGGGTAAAAGAGGGTGGCTGCCTCAAAGTCACACAAAGTTTCATGGCTGTGTATAATTTTGGACCTGAGGCTTGCTCCAGAGTTCAATTCTCTAGCAATCACTCCACACTCAAATTGGTGCCAGTTTTGAATCTGTCCTTTTATTTTGGTATAGAGAAATGTATTAAGTATTCTAAATAAAGCTTAGAAAAGCATAGATTTACATAAATATTAAGGTATTTGTTAGTAACAAGAAGATAAAACAAAGCTAAGCAAATTGACAAATAGAACATATTAAGTATGGAAAACTAAACAGTTCGTAACTATTTAGGCCTCCTCATACCTGATTTAGGCCTCCTTACCTGATTTCAGTATTGTCTGTGTTTTTATGTGTATATCTGTATGTATGTATGTATTTATGTATAAGCCAGTTTTGATTAGTGGTTAAGGCATCACACTAGAAACCTAGTTCTAGTCTCACTTTAGGCACGAAGCCAGCTGGATGACTTTGGGTTAGTCTCTTAGCCCTAGGAAGCAGGCAATGGCAAACTACTTCCAAAATCTTGCCAAGATTTTTTTGGCAAGACTAGTCCCAGCACTAGCCAGAAATCAACACAAAGCCACCCCCTTCAATATTTATGTACTGTATGTATATATGGTATTGTATTGTGTTGTGTTGTATTTGTGGTGGCTTGTAGTACAAACTATAACACATAAAAAACATTATTATCCTAAAACAATCATCACTAGAAATATAAGAAGATAACACTAAAATAAAAAATCATCTGCAGCAGTCCAGTCTTATTTAGGCAGCAATAATTTCCAAGAGCCCATTTGGGAAATAAGCTAAGCTACTGTTAATTTTTAAGTCATTTCAGTGGGAGAAGAATGCCCATAGAATTTCTTAAATAGTTCCATTCTGGATGTTTCATCCCAAATTGTTGCTGACACTTTGCTCAGTTTCCTTTTGTGTGAAGTGCAGTATCTAAAACACTACAAAAATAGCCAACTGAGCAGGATGTAAGTCTTTAATACAGATGTCTATGGAAATTCTCTTGTCATCCAGGTTATGGTTGTCTCAAAGGTGCTTTTTCAAAAGGTAACTGGATGATGTTTGAGGAAGAAGACATTTAGCTTCTCATCCAAAAAGCTTCATCAGTTCTGGCTGGCTGGTGGTGGTGGTGGTGGTGGTGGTGGTGGTGGTGGTGGTGGTGGAAATGGAAGGATTAGTTCTGATGAGCAGTGTAGAATCTAAGGCATTTCAAGGGACACATGCAGTCCTATAAAGTTACAGAGGTTTATGACTGAGTTCACATATTGCACCAAGCTGTGATTAATTCATTATGCTTTGTTGCCTAAGTGTCAATTGATCTAATGCATACAATGTCCTAAGTCACAATTAATGCTTTACAAACCACAATGGCTGGATTTTTATAACAAGTCGAGCCAACATGCCCACCAAAAACACATTTTAACTTAGCATGATGTATTAGCCCAGTCAGTATGCCTTCAGGCTGAAGCAAGGAAACAAACTTATGTGGGGATTGTGAGAGGTATGTATTGGCTTTGCTTCAGCTATCAAAATACAAATCTGATAAATACATGTTAATAAAGATGAATTGACTGGAAAATCTAGATATCGGGGAAGGCTGAGGCAAGCTATCTCAGAATTGATCTATATAAATAGCAGATCACCATACTGTAGCAAATCTCTGAAAGTGGAGGCATTGGTTTGCCAATAGCTTTGGAAAGAAAAAGATTGGCTTGGGCTTTGAATACTTCATTAACAAAACAATACTGACAAACTGGAAGGAGTGGAGGAACTGTGACTGATTGGGCAGCCTGAGGAGATGATGTTATGAGAAAACGAGCTAAAAATTTCCAGTGCGGCAGACTGGTGAAAATCATAAGACATTTATTGAGATTGCACAAATACAAAGATTATTTTCTGGATGTTGTTTGCAAATGTAAAAATGACAAAAATTATCAATAGCCAATTGCACTTTGCATTATTATTTCTGCCACCTTTGCAACTCCCCCCCCCCAAAGGCACTGTAAACAGTTCTACAAATAAGGCTGAACAGCATTTCGTACTGTTAAGTGCATTATCAGGAACCAAAGTTTGACCTCACTTTGTGCTTATTAGGGGTTCTTTTGCAAAGAGATTTAGATGTGTGTTCATTGATTTTCATTGGGAATGGAGACTGGGCGGGAGGGAAGGAAGCCTCGGAAATAGTATCCAGACCTGCTCGTTGTCTCTAGAGCACGAGAGATGTTACAAAAAGCGGGGTCTTGTGGGGGTGGCCGGTTCGTTCTCTCAGGATCCGGAGAGAAGCCCAACATCCGCGCACGATGACATGGCCTGAGACAGGCGGGTGAGTCCAGAGGCAAAGAATAGGGGGGAAGCGGGAGAGGACAGCGAGAAGATAGATTGTGTGTGTGGGGGGGACGCCACGTGGGAAATAGGGGAGGCTAAACAGAGGCGGATTCCAGCCGGGCTCTTTGGGAGACGGGGAGGCTTACCCACAAAGTTTGAAGCCTGACGGGGGAGGGGGGAAGGTCTTGCTTTCGCTCTTGAAGATGAGTAGAAACAGTTGAGAGACATTTTGAAGTTTCATGGAGGGGTTGGGGGAGGGGGCTCCTCATTTTAAAGTACTTATGGAAAGGCCGGGAAATGGCGAAGCAGAGGCAAAAGGCGGGATAACAGAATTTCGTTCCATAGAATCTCTCAATGTTAGATTAAAGAAAATGTCATGGGTCGGGAGCGGTGCTGGAAGGAAATATTACTTAAGTAGCCAAAACTTAAAAAAAAAAAAAAACAAGCGAAGTTCAGTTGTTAAAATCAAGGAAAGGCAGAAGTAGGAAGAAGGCTTGTTGCTATCTGGTTTAAGTTCCGCCTCTGGGCCCTGCCATAAGTCCCCCTGCACATGATAATACTGATGCAGTAATATTAACTATAGAACAGTAAATGGTACAAATAATAAAACAAAATCGAGAGCAGATGAGGACAACTTAGAGGGGGTATTCCTATAGAGGGAGGAAGAAGAGAAGCGTGGGATGAAGTTTTTACCGACAAGGAGGACAGGATAGAAGGTAGAAAGGCGGGTGATTCCTGGGGATTCGAACACAGTGCATTTTAAGCGGAAAGGAAGTGGAGAGGTCAGAGAAGAGATGAACCCTGTCGAATCAGATCCATGTTTTTAAGTTTTGGGCACCTTTTTTCTGCGGGAAACTGGTTTATATGAAGCCAAATCATTAGTTCAGCTAGCTCACTTAATTTCTTTCAGTAGCCCGTGCTCCATTATAGCTTTAGCAACAAAAGTGAGTTATGCTGCTTCTAAATGTAAAAATCTGATTTCATTTGTAAACTTTTATGAATAATTTCACCCAGCTATGACTTTATTCCTAATAGGCTTGGGAACCTATTCATAAGCTTTACCTTGTGCAGGCTATTATGATTTGGCTTTCAGATAGTGCATTCCTTTTTCTGTTGGTACTTCTGTTGCATTTGGAGGGGCAAGTATCTTGTGTGATGAACCAGACTTTTCTGAATAAAACCAAGGGCAATCTTGCTTTATGTAGGTGCAAATGGTAATGTACAACATTATCCCAATGATGCTAATTATGATGATTAATATTATAATTATTACTACCACTCTTGTATACATGCCACTTTGCAGAATAAAATAATCAAGAAAAAAAGTAACAGTTTTGTGACAATGAACATGTTACCTGTTTTCAGTGTTTTCAACACTGGCCAAAGAAATGCTTCTGGAAACCCCCATAGTAGGATATAAGAGTTTTATTCCCTGCAATTGGTATGCTAAGTAAGGTTTTTAATACATGATTTCTAATACTGATAGTTTTATTCTTCATAAATATGGCTAATTTTCACAAGTTAATAGCCATTGTTATATATGTTGATATTGGATTCCATAGTTTAGTTCAGGGGTTCCCAACTGGGGGTGTGAGGTGATATTGCAGGGGGTGCGAAAACATGGGTTTTAAAAATTATAGTGTATATGCATAATTCATTGCCATTATCTCAGACTTTTTTAAGGAGTGTGAGAATATATCAGAAGCATTCTAGGGGTGCGGGGTATAGAAAAGGTTGGGAACCGGTGGTTTAGTTACAATTTTGTGTGAAGAAGTACGTTCTTTACTCAGTCTTACATTTCTGATTCTTTAACTTCATTGGATCATGCTATTTTCTTGCACGATAAAAAAGAGTAGAAAAATATTTTGACAGCCTCTTTTCCATCATCATGCAACATTTTTATTTTATGCATTTCCACAGTGTTTAGCCATTTCAGTTGCCCCTTTATATATGTCCTCTATTTAAAATCTGAAACAATTTGTACAAAAACTTTATGAAACTGTTTTTTTTCTTTGTAATTGTTCATGAATCTCCATAGTAAAGTAGACTATAACCTGTAACTCCCCAGAATAAGTGAAAACTGATAACCACTTTTATTGAAGCTCAGTAATGAGCATGAGTCATTATAGATCAAACACCTATAATAGGAACCAAGCTAGATTTGAATATTATTAATTTATTAAAATATTATTTATGCCTTCATTTTTTGTTCTTAGGAACTCAAGGTTGCATATCTAGCCTTTTTACCAGTTTTTCTTGCGGCAACAATCAGAATTGAGCTGAGAAATAATAACTGCCTTAAAGTTATCCAGTGGGTTTCCACGGCTCACAGTTGACTTCAGCCTAGTGTTCCTGCTTCTACATCCAGCCATTGTACTGCACTGACTGACCAATAATTGTAAATCATGATTTAAACCATTAAGAAAGATTCCATTTTAATAATTTAAATCATGATTTATTCACTGATCTGGAATATTTTTCTATAGAAATGCCTTCTTATTCAATATAATCTGAGCAGATATTTGTCAGTACTCACAAAAAGATGTAGATTTAATTTTAACTGTACAAAATAATTTTTATTTAAAAATGTAATATTTTTTTAATGATTTAATGATTATTAAGTAGGGATTGTAAAATTTACAATGAAATGTTCTGGAGAACTCTGGAATTTTTCATCCCCCCTCCCTCCCCTCCCCATCATGCTATTTCAAGGCATAGTTCTGCAGTTTCCTGACATACATTGAATTGTGTTTTGGTCAGAGAGCTGTGTCTAGGTAATGCCTGTTTAAGTCAGAGTACTGTGTTTGGGACACAACACTTTGTGTCCCAAAACAGATACACAAACACAGCCTGTTGGTTCGCAAGGATTATTCCAGAAACTGCTACACTGTCCCTGGAACTTCATGGTCTGGGGAGCATCAGCATGGCCAGAGGGGCAAGCAAAAGATTCTGTTCCTGAATTAGTAAGTTTTGCAAAGAAATACATACTTGTAAAGTCATTTAAAGATGAATCGGTGTCAATTCAATTCAGTTGTACTTATTTACTGTTTGAGAATGATAGTCAGTTTTTCAGTTGCATAAAACATCTTGGTTGAAACAAGTGTCAGTTCTGTTAACCTACCTCTATATTAAATGAGAAATTAGAAGTTATATTCATAATTGTTTCACTGAAGTATTGTACATTTAATTTTATAAAGTGTTCTTAAAATGTTTTAAGAAAGTTTTGTGGCTTAAGACAAAGATGTTTAGTTTTGATTTTTATCTGACCTGATTAGAAATAATTCTCACTGCATTCAGTGAAACTTCTTAACAAAAAATGCTTAACATTGCAGGCACTATTTCAATGGAATTTCTTTCTTAATGTCTACCATTGTGGTTTTCCTGTCTTTAACTGTTAGAAGAGACATTTCCTTTAATTGCAGAGAATAATGGAAGGAAAAAAACATGAACAAAATGTTATATGACCCAAACTATTTTAATGAAATAATCAGTTTGACCTGTAGGTTTTAGGAGGGTGCAAGTCTATAGCTGCAAAGTAGTGGACTGCACATTCACATTGCTATTATTCAAAAACCACTGTGAAAACAGAACTTAATGTCCCCCTGGTGAATAGTTGAGAATGAGATGCATATAATGTTCATGCACTGTAATAAGGGGAGGAGAAAAGGGTTGTGCTGTGTTGTCTCAAACAATAGTCGGCTTAGAACGTATCTCGGTGGCTGTCAAAACTTGTTTTTTGATGAACACAGAAAACATTTGGCCTTCTCAAGGATGTTTGCTGTATCAGTGCTAAGGCTACTTCCTTGGGCAACATCCCTATGTTCAGCATCTTGTTTTGTGGGTCATTTTTTATCACATATTTCTTGATGACTTCTTGGGGCTGAGTTTCTTTTTCTACCCTCCTGGAAAACGCTGGAGACTGTAAGTAGCTGGAGACTATAAGCATATTTGTACAGTGTGGATCCGTTTCTTTAAAGGAAAAAAAGATAGGGTAATGTAAATCTTTCAAGCAAATTCTGCTTTCTTTTAAAATAACATTAAAATATATGTAATATATGCTTGATGTGAAGAATATATTGGTTTGCAGATCTTTAGTTTCTTGTCTTTTGAAATAGTACAAAATTTTACAATTAACTTTTATGATTTAAATTCACTGTTGGAAAAATGTTTATTGAATCAAAAGTGTTTATGGAAGGCATATCAATAATTGAAGAAACAGCAGTTAACTGAACACAGATGACTATTACAGCAGAACATTATTCCTGATTTTTGGATATTCAAAGCAAAATGACAAATCTCAGAAAAAATAAATTATTTTACCATTTTCATTCTGTGGATGTATTTATTATTTATTTATCACAGAGAGTTGTATGCCACCAAAATCGTTGGACACAAGATGGTTTACAGTGGACTTAAGACTTTCCTTTTTACGTCTTTATTTTTTGAAAAACACATTTCACTGGGATGTAATTTTAAAAAATTATTTTTAAAAAATAAAAATATTTTTAAAAATAGATAATATTTTTATAGCCAATGTATTGAAAAAAGCACTAACATCAATTAAATTATTAATGTTTTGTATTACTAGTTTATAAGCTTATGATTCAAACATCAATTGAAACCAAAGCTGGACTTTTTTTCCAAAAAAATTATTTGTTTCCTAACTCTTACACAGATTATTCTTACATCTAATCTTGTTGCTTTCTTTGTTTTTTTTAAACAGATGTTTGCAAGTTTGCTTGCAATTCAGAATCAAAGGAAAAATTCAGAGTTAAAGTATCCACCTTTTATCAGTTAACAGAGAAAGAATTGGAGAAAAAGTACATACTAATAGTAAATTTCACATCATTTTTTTAGAATCTAAAAACCACAGGAAATACTTTTAAAACAACCAATGATGGTTGATTTTAGGGTGCAAGAAATTTTTTTAATGTTTAGCATAATACTTAGAAACTAAGGTTAGTTTTCGCTAACCCATGCCTCAGAAGTGAATGTCCA